TGCGGACAGCGAGGCGAGTGCAGGATGCGGGCACAGAGATGTCCCTGCCATGGGGACAGTGGGTGCAGGATGTGGGCACAGAGGTGTCCCTGCCATGGGGACAGCGAGGCGAGTGCAGGATACAGGCACAGTGGTGTCCCCAGCATAGGGACACGAGGTGGCTGCGGGACACGGGCACAGTGATGTCTCCTGCCATAGGGACAGTGAGGTGGGTGCGGGATGTGGGCACAGAGGTGTCCCTGCCATGGGGACAGTGAGTGCGGGATGCGGGCAGGGGGATCCCTGGTGACATGGATGGCGAGGTGGGTGCAGGATGCAACCGTGGGGGTGCCCCATCCTGCTGATGGCAAGGTGGGTGCAGGATGCGGGCATGGGGATGCTGAGCGTGACCCGGCCGGTGAGGTAAGCGTGGGATGCGGGCAGGGGGCTGCCTGACTGGCACAGCAGGACACGGGGACGCCCTGGCGATGCGGACAGCAAGGTGGGTGCAGGATGCGGGCACGGGGGAGGCACCCAGCCAGCACAAGGGGCCGCAGAATGCGGGCACGGAGATGCCCAGCTGGTTCCAGGAGTGCGGGATATGGGCACGGGGATGCCCAGCCAGCGCAGTGAGCACAGGATGTGGGCACAGAGATGCCCGAGTGGCACTGTGAGCGCAGGATACGGCCGTGGGGATGCCCAGCTGGTGCAGTAAGTGCGGGATACGGGCACGATGATGCCTGGCCAGCGCAGTGAGCACAGGATACAGCCCTGGGGATGCCCGGCCAGTGCAGTAAGTGCGGGATACGGCCCTGGGGATGCCCAGCTGGCACAGCAAGCGTGGGATACGGGCAGAGGGATGCTCGGCTGGCACAGTGAGTGGAGTCCGCAGGCAGAGGGATGCTGGGCCGGCACAGCAAGTGCAGGATACGGGCACGGGGCTGCCCTCCACCACCCAGCCGGCTTTTCCTCAGCCGTCCCGCTGCGTCTCTTCCCCCCTCCCTGGCTCTCTCCTTTCTCTCTTATCCTACCCCCA